GAGTTCCAAAATTCTGAATTCATCTTACATACATAGAACTTATTCACATCCATGTTATGTCTATTAACATTGTAACCATTCCCTCTGCCCATCAGACAGTCGAATCTTGCAAGTTAAGTAACCTGGTGTTTCATTTTCTTTCCTCTGTCGTCTTTTTTTCTTTGTCCTCTTTACTCTTGTCTTTTATTTTGTTTTTAACTTCTTTCTTTGTCTTTCAACTCGAGGCCTCTGAAGATCTTCAATCTTGGTCATTAGAGATATTCGGTGCGAGAGATCTTTTTCCAAATTCGCATTAGATACGTTAGTAGCCAACTCAGATGCAAAGATAAAAGAAAGGTACACTATTTTTAGTTTCACAAGAAAAATAGTAGCATATATATTGTCATTAATAAGGGGAAGAAGATATTCTCTAACCTTGTTTTGTCCGGGCAAACCCGTGTCTCTCTGAGCGCAACATCTATTCTCAGATTGTAGAAACAAAAACAAAAGCCATTAGGCTTTCATACATTTCACTTGTGCTGTAAATGTTTGAGTTGAAAAGTAATTCTGACAATCCTCCAACTCTTTGCAAAAAATCTAATAATTCACAATCCCATAAGAAAATAAAACAATGCCAAAGCAAGGTAGAATCTTAAATCACAAGATAATAAACTAAAGTTTAAGAAAACACAATCACCAAGTTTTTATTAGGTATATTAATGATTGAACTCTTCTTACCTTCTTTAAAAACTCTCTCATAGTATAAATTTCAAGAAAAAAATACATTCCACAGTTTTTGCCACAGGGATGTTTTTGTTGATTTCAACTAACCTTCTTTTCAATTTTAAATAAAACATGTCCTATTGTTTTTTATATTCATTTTAAAAAGTGTAGCTGCCATCTTTAAAGTTGGGGAAAAAAAATTGTCCGTGTCCACACGAACACTGTGTCCACACTGCATAGACATTTGTGTCAGCGTTGTGCTGACACCAGCCAGTTCCATGTGTCTGCACATCGCGGACACCGTGCCCTCAGTGTGCGAACACCAGGTCCATGTGTCCGCAAGTCGCATACACCATGTCTACACATCGCAGGCGTGCCCACGGCGTGCAGATACTAGGACACCATGCTCGTGGTGTGTGGACACCAGTTCCATCGTGTCTGCACATTGCGGACACCATGCCCGCGGTGTCGGACATCGTGCCCGCTCCATCCCCTTTCTGCAAACCTAGTGAATCAAAATCATGCTAAATAAAAGAAAGTCTCTCACTCCTCCAAAGCTTTAACTTACATCCATTAAATCTTCACCACTTACACAAGAAAATGTTCAGATTGCATTTCCAACAACTAATTACCCAAAAGTCAATAGACTCAGAACCCCAATATAGTAGAACACTCATCAAATCAGCTAAAAACCGATATCCCCAGAAATTCAACGCAATATATTACTCAAAACTTAAAACGTATTCATTAGGCAAACATACATAATATATCAACGACTTTAAACATTTTGTACACAGATTTATGAGAACTGAGTGACAATTGAACCTTACTCGAAGGACTTAACGGCGCCATTGAGAGAGAAAAGTGAGAGACAGAGTGAGAATTGAAAAGATTTGAGTGGAAGAATGAATTTGAAGATATTTCTTAGAAGAGATATGTAGAAGATATTTATATAATTTCAACTGCAATAGTCAACAAAGATGACTACATACTGTAGCAAAATCGGATTGGAAACAGGCAAGTGTGAAAACTCCTGTGACAAAAATGAACAGTGAATGAGGGATATGAATAAAATTGAAATTTGATCATCAGCTTATAAGTTTGAAAAAGCATCTCCAAGCATTTATGTAACTTTAGAAGCATCTCAAATGAACTAATTTTCCGTAAAGTCCAATGTTTTAAATCCCGGCTCGGGCATCGACCCGAGAAGGAAAAAGGGTTAAGAGTCAAAATGTTTGACCCCGGCTCAGACATCGACCCGAAAAAGAGAAACGGTCAAAAGTCGAAAACCGAGATCAAATCGGAGGTAATAAATAAATATTTATAAACATTTAAATTTTATTTTCACAACAATATATAATTAAATTTTTACACCATCAATTCAAAATAAATACAAAATGTCAAATGTTCTTTTTTTAATTTAAATTTTAATAGTTTTTAATTTGTTAGATTACTTAAAAACTCATTTAAATTTTACTAAATAATTTGTAAGATTAAAAAAATATTTCACAATGTGTAGAAATTGAGTAATTTAATTTTATAGTCATGCACTATGTGGCCATAATTAATATTGAAAAAAGTGTGATATATTTAAGCTTGTTAATCCCAAATTGAAAGTGTATTGAAAGTGTGTTTTATGGAATTTTATTAATCCCACATTGAAAGTTTATCAATTATGATACTCAAGAAATGATTATAAAAGAGCTCATAGGTAGAAAAGTGGGTAGATGGGATTTCATCTCTATGGTAACCTTTTTATTATGTATTAATTTTTTTAAAAATAAGTTTTGAAAACCGGTCCAAAAACTATGACCAGTTCTCGATTTTCTGGTTATTTGATCGGTTATTAATTAACCGGTTATTTTAGTATAACTGGATCGGATTTTGGTCCGATTCTTGATTTTATTGGATGAATTGATCGGTCTGGTCCAATTTTATAAGCATTGATAAGGTCTATAGTCAGTCTTTAAGCTTTGTTCTTTGCTCCTCATTCATCCGTTTATTACCATTTTTCTTTTCTTGAACATCAATTTGTCTTCAAGGTAGAATTTTGTCCTATAAAAAAGTCACAATTCAAAAGAA